TACAGGAAGTAGAAGAGCTGAAGAAGAATCTGACATTTCAGCAGACGTTTGTCACCAGAGCAAAACCACAAAGTGAAGCTGTTGTAAAAGCAAGTTTTATTGTAGCAGAGGAGCCAAATCAGGCCGGTACCGCTCTGAAGAGCTGCAGGATGAAGCTGTGGACGTCTTGTGTCCAGACAAAACGCAGATTTTAGCAAATGTGAGCCTGAGCAGAAATACGATTGCTGATCGGGTTTGTGAGACGGTCACTGATTTAAGAACACAGCTGTGAGAAAGAAGCAAAAACGTTATTAAATACTCTCTGTGGATGAAAGTACAGACATGATGGACACTGCACAGCTGGCCATTTTCATCCGTGGAGAGGAAATATTGAACATTAAATCGATGCACAACTACAGGAAACGACATTTTTTAAAACGCATGTCAAAGTGTAACGACATGAAGCTGCCCTGGGACAAACTTGTTGTACTTACAACAGATGGAGCGCCGGTGCTGTGCGGTGAAAAAAGCGGACTAGTCAGCAGGGTCTTAAAGTTGTGAGTTTTCCACCCGAAATCTGCCCACTTTGAACCTGACTTCCCGTACAGCTCCTTTTATTGATAAAAAGCAGTTACAAAAATATCTTGTTCGTCATGTGATATTTAAGGCAAGCGTACGTGAGCAAGTGTCTGTATGTATGTGACATTTCCTATCACACCACATATACCGCGACCTCTCAACGACATCTCCAGCCACACCATATATGGTATGACCTTTCAATCAACCAACATGTACAAAAGCATGAAGTCCTGCTAAACATATAAACACAGGAAGATGTGGGTTCTTGTGTTTAACGGAAAAATACAGCAAACAGACAGCTTCCTTCATCTTATGCATATAGCAGAAGCTACAACTTAATATGGATGAAACATTTTCTCAGTATACATACAAACATTGGTTTTATATTATTGCACAGATGACAATTTCAAAAGACTTAACTCTGACAACATGTCAGTGTGGTAATGTCATGATAATGGGAGAATATAGATTGATGTTTTGGTTTTTTCAGGTGTTTTTTCAGTATAATAATAAAAATATCTGACCTTATAAAACTAAAATACTCCTTATGGGAAACACTCTTCATCACTCTCCACTGACTTCATAGACACAGTCCACATTTTAAATTGTCAGCTCACACTTCATAGCTGAGGCACTGGTGACCATCAGAAAGTGACTACAGAGAGAGCCAGCTCCAAAGAGAGAGAGAGCCAAACACATCAACACACTGAATGGAAAACCGGTTATTATTCCTGGACTGTGCTGTGCTCATTGAGGATCACTGAAGCCTCAATGTCAAAGAAAAGAACACGCACAGACCAGTACCTGCTCTTCAACTCCCACCATCCACTAGCATAAAGATAAGGAACACAGATTAAGGGAGCACTTAAATATGTGGTTTTCTAACCCGGACCTTCATGAAGTCAGTAGAGACATGGATAAGAACCACAGATATTCTTTGCATTTAAAATGATTTTAGTTTATCCAGTGACTTTTAGTGACTTTTTTAAATAAAACCCCTCAAATTAAAGACAAAGTCTGCGCTCGAATCATAAATTGATTGTCTGATTTTTGATCTACAGTGGTGGTGTACAGAGGTAAAACTACAAAAACTGTTTATTTCTCAATCATTATCTTCAACATATTAATCAGCCCAGACAGACTTTTAACCACAGTGACAGTAAAGGAGGTAAATGCGAGAAAAGCAATGCAGCTGAGCTGTGAAGTCATCACGTACGCTGCGTCCTCTGTGGTCTCTGAGTGAACTCACAAAGTACAAACTGTAAGTACCGTGAACTATGGAGCGGCAGATTTGTGTTGGAACTAAGCTGCACACAGTGCAGAGTTTCCAAACTGATAAAAGACAGTAAAAACATAAAACAGTTTAAAGTAAAATATAAAAACCTAATTTTAAATAAGTATAAGAATGAAGAAAACGGGGTTAACCCAGGACGGTGATGTTGCTGGTAATGGTGTTG